AGCACAAAATCGGGACTTTTAAAAGTCTCGATTTTGTGCTCCGTTGCTCCGCCACTTGCCGGGAGCCGGCCCCTCCCCCCGCGGTCTATCTTCCCGTCGCTTTGGATTCACTTCTCCGCCAGTCCTACCTTTCAGAAAGTGGTTGATTTTCTGTTTCTAGAGTTGTTGTTCTTCTTCTCTTCGATCTCCCATTGGATTCGTAGGTGTTTGCAATCTTTAGATAAGCCATCTAGCTGATCTCCCGCTACCTGAAGTAGTCTCAGCCTGCTACTTCTCTGCCATCTTGACTCCTCTCTCGGGATTATTTATCTTAACAGATTTTCAATGCAGATAAAATCTGTCCATTTTGGAGAGAGAGGTCAGAGAACATACACCAGCCCAGGGAAGAATATTCTTGGTTTTAAAGCTCCGATCCCTTCATACTTCTATTTAACATCCTAGAAATGCATCTAGAGTTAAACTCCTCATGGAGATGTATGAAAAATATTTTCATCTTTCAAAAAAAATTTTTTTTTAATTTTTAAGAATTTATTTATTTATTTGACAGAGAGAGAGCACAGGCAGGGGGGAGTGGCAGGCGGAGGGAGGAGAAGCAGGCTCCAGGGAGAGTAGGGGGAGCCAGATCCCAGGATCCTGGAATCATGACCTGAGCATAAGGCAGTCTCTTAACCAACTGAGCCACCCAGCAGCCCCTACTTTCATCTTTTGACGCACTGATCTTTTGAAACCAAACCTGTTCCCAAATAAAGGAACTACTGTGTTCTCGAATCTTCCTAGAAGCTTTCCCTAACCCTCAATCTACCCCCAAACTGAATTACCCCTTGTCTGAAATCTTACAACACCTCATTTTATTCTTGTCATCTTTTCCCGGTGTTTGTGTTGTTCATGCTTCGGATCTTACCTCCCACACTGTGTGGAACAAGATCCTGCCTGACTGAGCATCTCCCACCGTATTACCCAAATGCTTCGTATATAGGAGACACTCAAGATTAGAAAATTTTCTGGACAGATATTTTGCTCATCTCTAATACCTTTTATATTCTACTGAAAATTACCAATGTCCAACTAACTTCAATTCTGTAGTTTGGGATTTTTAGAAAACTACCCTCCCTTCAAGAAATGCCCAACAATTTAACCAGGGCTAGTGCCAGTTTAGGAATAAGACATTAATGCACTTCTATCACATAAGAATTTGAGGCCTATCTTCATCTTTCCACGTTGTCTAATTCAAGTTAGGGTGGTAAAACAAAATCTTTATTTTTTCTTTTAGCTCTCTGGTGTGCTCCCCTCCTCTGGCCTCATACTTTCCTTTTGTTAGTCAATGATTTCAGCCTCTGCCTTCAAGTTTAACGGTTTGTGCCCCACGCATGCCCCTCTTCTTTTGGTGATTAGGGGCGTTCAGAACTTATTCTGACACGGAATCCTCCCTCATTTCCGATTCCTGTACTTCTTGGGGTGGAAAGAGTTTCTTCGCTTTGAAACGCTGACAAGGAAAAAGAATGGGGGAGAAAAAAGTTGAGTCACGACTGGTTGCACAGCAAAAGCTCTGCAGTGTGGAGGAAGACTAAATGTGGCTTGGGTGGCGCAGGGTTGGGCTGGGGCGACTTCTGAGGGGCTTCGCTGGGGTCGAGCCCCTAGAGCTGCGGTGGCCTCCGCGGTCGCCTCCCCGCTCGCCCTCCGCACCTCCCCCGCCGCCGGCTGCGTTCGGGCTCCCCCTCGGACTTATGTCCCGCGCTTGCGTGCTGAGGCCAAAGCTCCCGACCCAGAGGCCGGCCCCAGAAAGCCCGCAGCGAGTAGGGGGCGGCGCGCAGGAAGGGAGGAGGGCCGGGGGCGTGTGTGGGGGGGTGGGTGTTCGGGGGTGGAGATGTAGAAGATGTGACGCCGCGGCCCGGCCGGTGCCAGACCAGCCGACGCGGTACCGCGGTTGCTGCCGGATCGCGGGCGCTGCAGCTACGGCAGGCGGCCCTCCCGAGAGCGGCGGCCGCGGAGACACCCAGCCCTAAACCCCAGCTCCCGAGCCCCGCGGCGCCCTGCGCTCTAGGGCAGCGGGAGAGGGAAGCGGCGGAGCGGCTCCAGGCTGGGGGCCCGCGGGCGCGGCCGCGCGCTGCCGGGCGGGAGGCTGGGGGGCCGGGGCCGTGGCCGTGCCCCGGACCGGGTCGGGGGCCGGGGCCGGGGGGCGGCGGCTCCCCGCGCGGCTCCAGGGGCGCGGGCGCCCCGGCAGAGCTCCGGCGGGGCCATGGCAGCCGGGAGCATCACCACGCTGCCGGCCCTGCCGGAGGACGGCGGCAGCGGCGCCTTCCCGCCCGGCCACTTCAAGGACCCCAAGCGGCTGTACTGCAAAAACGGGGGCTTCTTCCTGCGCATCCACCCCGATGGCAGAGTGGACGGGGTCCGGGAGAAGAGCGATCCTCACAGTGAGTGCTGGCCCGCTCTTCCTCCCCCATCCCATCTCCATCTTCTGTGGTTCTCTCCCCCGCCCCTCCATTCCAGCTTCTTCCTTCTCGTCACTCTGACCTCAGTGGGACCTGTGGTTTCTTTCTGCGCAGCCTTCAGCGGTTTCGGGTTCACCACTCGCCCCCACCTCCCCGGAGCTGCGGTGTCGGGTTAGACACTTCCCCGGGCTTCGGAGTGTGCCAGTTTCCCCTGGTAAACCAGTCCCCTGGGCCCAGAGCCGCAGGGTGCCTGGGCCTGGCCTTAGCGCAACCTGTTGCTTAGCGGAATGCCAGGCGGCGGAGAGGTGAGCTGGCTAGCTGAGATGCCGTCCGGGTCCCCACCCTGAAGTTCCAATCCCTTCTGTGTTGGGGGCCTGCAGTCCCAGTGACGGAGACAGAGGGACCAAACTTGAATTAAGTGTTCTTTATTGGAAAAATACCTTCCCAGAGTTGTGCCCTTAAACTCCGATTTGGTAGGATTCGAGCCAGCTGGCACTCTGCTCTCACCCATCTATTTCTAATTTTTTCCTAATTGCCGAAAGCTTTCAGAGCAATAGATATGGACTTTGTTAATAAAGTGCGACACACTTCTGTTTCAACAGTGTTGAGAACCGCAAAAGCTTTAATCATCCGCCTGCAATTGTTAGCTTTGGGACCTTGAGCCTGTTTCCTCAGATTTAAAGTGGGGGCGATGTCTACCTTGCATCAGGTTTGAGGCTCAAATGAGAGCTTATATACAGCGCTGGGAGGTCTCATTTCACTAGTGTACACTTTTGTGTTCAGTAATAAATAATCTATTAGTGGTTATAGAAATAACGCTGGCCTACAGTCATTGGTTCTCAAACTTGAGGGGCACATTAGAATCCCCTGGGGGGTTGTAACAAATTGCTGAACCTTGTCTCCCGAGTTTGAGTCCTTGGGTCTGGAGTGGGGCCTGATGATTTGCATTTGTAACGAGTTCCCCAGGTGGTGCTGACCTGGGACCACACTTTGAGACCAACTGGTCTATAGAAAACAAGAAGAAAGGGGTATAAAATGGGTTGATTAACAACACTGGTGGACTCTAAAATGGGAGAAAGAAGATCAGAGTATATTTTAACTGGCATCCTGTAAGTGCAGGTGAAACAGCCGTTTTAAAATCCCTGTGTTTGGCCTTCTTTTCTGGGTTTCAGATGAAGACTCTGCTCCTCTATTTTCCTGAGAAAAGACCTCCCCAGGTACAAGCTTCACTCCCCAGTAGTTAACCTCTTTATCACAAGATGCTGATGGAATGTCATTCACACCTGTGAGGTGACACAGGAAGAGGCCAAAGCTTTGCCACCAAACCTGGGTTGATGAATGGGAAATGTGCTTTTATATTGGGTCTTTATTGATTCCAAAATAGCAACCAGCAAAAGATGCAACTCTTTAATTTTTTTCGGGTCTGACGTAATTTTTAAAATCTATCAATCACTTACATTATCCAGTAAAACTGCAAAGGTACTTGTAACCCTGTATATATGGGTTAGTGCTGTTTCTCTATTTTAGTAACTTGAATAGGTTTCACAAAATCAAGTTTTGTTTTCATTTTTTTTTTTTAAGAATTTATTTATTTAGTTGACAGATCACAAGTAGTCAGAGAGGCAGGCAGAGAGAGAGAGGAGGAAGCAGGCTCTCTGCAGAGCAGAGCCCGATGTGGGACTCAATCCCAGGACCCTGAGATCATGACCTGAGTCAAAGGCAGAGGCTTAACCCACTGAGCCACCCAGGCGCCCCTTGTTTTCATTTTTTTAAAGATTTTATTTATTTGTCCGAGAGAGAGAGAGAGAGAGAGCGAGCACAAGCAGGCGGAGCAGCAGGCAGAGAGAGAAGCAGGCTCCCCACTGAGCATGGAGCCCAATGTGGGTGTGGGGCTCGATCCCAGGACCCTGAGATCATGACCTGAGCCGAAGGCAGAGGCTTAACCCACTGAGCCACCCAGGCATCCCCAAAATTAAGTTTTAAACTTTGTGTTTGAAGTTTGTTTTGCATTTTTCTTTTAGGCCAGCACAGCTGATTAGGGTCAGGTGCATGTATGTCCCAAATAATTTTGTTCTTTTCTAGTAGCGCAAACTGTCTGTAATGATAAAGGAGCATGTTCTATGACTAAAAGACAGAAGAACTCTCCACCAGATTAGGTTCATATTGGGGCTTCTCCTATGCCTTTTTTTTTTTTTTTTAAGATACTTTATTAATTGTTGAATCTTTTTTTTTTCTTTGAAGCTTTTGATTTTCTTTTAGAATAAAACTATATAGAGGATAGTGAGTTAGGATAATTCTGAATTGCATAGCATACTACTGCCCTTGTAATAACATCTGTTAACTTTTTCTTCCCACCTATGAATTTTTCATAATCTTATTTTAACTCACTGGTTCTCAAAGGGGGGGTGGTGACTTTGCTCCTGCCCACCACCCTCAACATTTGGCAAGGCCTGAAGACATTTTTGGTTCATATTTGGAATGGTGCTACTAGTACCTAGTAGGTAGAGGCCACAGATGCTGTTAACTGTCCTACAATGCACAGGATACCTCCATTATCCCCAGCAAAAAATTTTCTGACCCCAAATGTTAATAGCGCTAAGGTTGAGAATCCTGCCAACTTCACAACAAGCTAAAGACAGCATGTTGAAACTGAAGAGTAGAATACTCATCCAGATTTGTGGAAGGTACGGATTTTTTTTTTTTAATTTACTTTTTACTTTTTAAATTTTTTTATTAACATATAATGTATTATTAGCCCCAGAGGTACAGGTCTGTGAATCATCACGCTTACACACTTCACAGCACTCACCATAGCACATACCATCCCCAACTACTCTCTCCTTACCCCCTCCCCCCGGCAACCCTCTGTTTTGTGAGATTAAGAGTCTCTTATGGTTTGTTTCCCTCCCGATCCCATCTTGTTTCATTTATTCCTTTCCTACCCCCCCCCCCCCCAACTCCCCATGTTGCTTCTCAACTTAGGTACGGATTTTTTTAAAATCACCTTTTACCAGGCAATAGACTGAGAAGAATAAAAACCTAAAATGACGAATTTAGACCACTTCAGTGTAGCACAACCTGGAAATAAGTTTAAGTACAGTATATTTTTCTGGCATGTCAAAGATATACTGATAGTTGACCAAACCAGGACAAGACTGATGGGAAAGATACAAGAAAAAAAGTGATTATGGACATGATATAACAATATTTTCCCAATCACGTCTCCTCCATTACCTAAACAAACAAGACTGACCAGAAAACATGGAGAAAGGAAAGCAGAGTTAATGGTTGCCACAGTTTCCTATTGAATTATGGCTCAGATATGCAGACATACTTGAAAAGTTGAAAAACTTCAAATGGTTTTGTCCAGTTGACCTGAAAATCTCCGATTTTGCCAATTACTTTGGAATTAGCATTTTCTGCCCAGATGTCTTCTAAAATGCAAATAGCTTTAAAAAGAAGAGTTCAGTCATTATGTTAACATTTAGTATGAGTTAAATTGTGAATTTAATTTCTTCCCCATACCTGAGCAAGACTGGAATTTAAGGAGGGATTGTATAAATGTGAGGTGCCAGTTAGGTATGGGGGTTGTGGCTCAGGTGCTAAAGGGGAAATAAGGCAGGGAGGTGTGGGCAGAGGGCAGAGGCAGAAAGGAAAGGGGAGGGAGAAGATGACTGAACACCAGTTTTCCTTCTTCTCAGTGTTGTTGAAGGTCACTTTTGCTTCACACCTGGGTATCCGCCTGTGTTGTTTTCACTTGAAAGGGCTGATTTTCCTGCACGTTCCTCATAGTCCTGGAGTAACTTTCATTCAACATGAGAGTTTTGATAAAGGCAAGATGTGATAACAGAGTCTATTTCTCCAGCAGGTGTGCTGCTCACCTGGCTTCCTTTTGGTATCCTGGATGTTTTGATTGGCCTCTTCAAACACCCATGGGATTGTGGAACATTAAGTATATACTCTAAAGTCATGAGCCATGTAAAAACTTAGGAAGAGAGAACATTTTATCCCAAGGAGCACGTACATACACCCTGTGCTGGAGAGCAGTGAATGAAATGTATGCTGCTTATGGAGATTTTAGCATTAAATGTGTTCCAGATGCTCTTATTTGGGAAAAAAATGGCGTTAGTTGGCTGTTTCTACCCTTGGGCTTCTCCTAGGAGGTGGCGGCCTGTTTGCTGTCTTCTTTGCTTCCAGGCCCTAGAGAACACTGAGACTTGGAGAGGCAGAGGGACCTGCCCACTCCTGTGTGGAGCAGGGATGGGATCCTGGCCCGCCTGACACCCATGCCCTTTGCCACGGCACATATTCCATGCAATTCCAGTCATAAAAACAAGGGCTTGTGAAATTCAGAGGGAGGCGTCAGACCTTGTAGTTCACCGATCTTGTTTTATAGAAGAGAGGATTGAGGCTCAGAACAGTGACTGATGACCCGAGTTCCTCGGCTAGTTTCCCCGGTGATCATCCTGAGTGAGCTTCTTACCCACCTGGTCCCTTGCCTTGTCTTCCTGCCCTCCCCCAGCCTCATTGCACTCTTGCATTCAGTCTCGAGAGCCCCCTCCAGGGCCCCCCTTTATGGGCTTCCTCCATTTCATAGCACTGGCCAAGCCAGCCCCACTGTGTAATGGAGTTCTTAACTAGTTCATAGGTTGCTTCTAGATGTGTTCCTGGGATATTAGATAAAGTCACCTTTCTTCCCTCCCTTTATGTAAATGGCACCATTGATGCAGTGATACTAGACTCTTTCCTCCCATCTCTTTTGGGTAATATCTGGCAAGTGGATCCCACTAATTTGCCTTATTAAGCACAATATTTACTATAATGCTATTTACGTGCAGTACACAAATGAAGTAAGAATCTAATAGCTCATTTAATCATGGCAATCATGTAATTGGTAGAGCAATGAAAGGACAATTCATGAGTCATAGATATTACCACACCTTAGAAGCCTTTTAAGAAGAGTTTGATGCCAAGTGACTTCA